TTGGCCGCTTTTAGTAAGGATTGAGCTCGTGCCCTTCTTCGAGCCTGATTGTGCACCGGGTGCATGTTCCTGGGGAAGGGTAGCACTGTGATTTTAGCGTGAAGGTGTTGCGGTAATGATTCTGCTTCGTTCACTTGAGTTGGGATAGGAAGACCTATGTGTGAGAGGAGTTCCTGACCCGCAGCTGTCGAAGACAGGCGCATGAGTTGGGACATTCTTTGTGCTTCGATGATTTCTTGGAACGTGTTATGTACCCCAAGGGATAGCAGGCGCTGCGTGCTTGTGGACATGGGTAGACCAAGTACTCGTTTTGTGCATTTTCGGATGAGGTTGTCTACTTTAGTTTCATCGCCTTTGCTCCACGGGTGAGCGCAGGCAACGTAGTGAACGTGGCACATTAAGAACGCATGAAAGATGCGTAGTAAGCTTTCTTCTGTGAGTCCTGCGTGTCTATTAGCGACGCGTCGGACGAGGTGCATGACTGCCTCAGCTTTTTTGGTGAGATGTGTGATGGTTAAGTCGTTTTTGCCATTCTCCTGTAGGGTAACGCCCAGAATTCGAACCGACGACACTATCGGGATAACCGAGCCATCCATTGTGGAGAGGTGTATGGTAGGTTCGGCTTTGGTGCGGCCGTACTGTGGTGGCAGAAGCAGCAACTCGGACTTAGATGCCGATAGTCTGAGGCCCGTGGGCTTTAAAAATGTTTGTACTGCAGTGACTGCTTCCTGAAGGCTCGCTTCGATTTGTCCATCACTCCCTCCAGTACGCCAAATAGTAATATCGTCGGCGTAGAGCGCGTGTTCTACACCTTCGATGTGTCGAAGCTTTTGCGAAAGTTGCCTGAGGGCTAAATTGAAAAGAAACGGTGAGAGCACCGACCCTTGCGGGGTGCCGCGCGGGCCTAGGTTGTAGGTGTGTGACTTGAGATCCCCAACTTTAAGTGTGGCCGTTCTGGCTCTTAGGAAAGAGCGGACGTATTCGTAGAAACGGCGGCCTAAGCCTGCCTCCTGAATCTCGTGTAGTACATGAGCGTGGCTTATGGTATCAAAAGCTTTTTCTAAGTCAAGAGCTAGGATTGCTCGGAGGTCTTTGCTCCTTACTTTAAGTAACGTCTCCTGCAGCATGAGAAGTACATCCTGCGTGGCCATAGCCGGCCTGAACCCTACTTGATTGAATGGGAAGAGGTGTTTTCGCTCTGAATATTGTGTGACTCGACGGAGAATGACGTGCTCCATGACCTTACCCACACAGGATGTGAGGGAGATGGGTCGTAGAGAGTCGAGTTCCAGGGGTTTGTTCGGCTTGGGAATGAGTATGACGGTCGCGGCCCTCCATTCTGGCGGGACGCTCCCTTGCTCCCAAACCTCATTCATGTGGGTGGCTAGTGATTCAATGTCATGGTCAGCCAGGTTGCGGAGTAGCTTGTTGGTGACTCCGTCAGGACCCGGGGCTGACTTAGTATTGAGCTCTGCTATTACCGCGCGTATTTCAGCGCTAGTTATAGCATGCTCAAATGGGTCGTCTGCGGCCCCCGCGTAAGGTGGATAGTCTTCATGTGAGGTAGGTTCTGTGCATAGATACCGGGCTGCTGTAGCATCTAAAATCTGCGCGTCGGTAAGTTGCTGTCCTCGCGCTTCGTGTAACAGTCTATCTAGAGTTAGTCGTTGCTCTGACTTGGTGGGCTTGTCGCCGAGCAGATGTCTGAGAAGGTCCCATTTTAGACCCTTTCTCATGCGTGCGTCAAGCGAATTACACACCTCATTCCACTGATTGCGTGCTAGTGTGTGACTGTACTCTTCGATTTGTCGGTTGAGCAATGCAATTCTTTTTCGTAGCCTACGATTGAGTTTATGCATTCTCCATCTTTCTTGAAGACTTTTGTGAGCCTCCAGGAGATGTGCGAGGTGGCTGTCCATGTGGTCTATGTTGCGTGTTGTAGAAATATTTTTGGTAGCTTGTTTTACGTCCCGCTGTAGCCTCGCAAAGAGTTCAGAGAGTGAAGAGTAATGGTTGGTGTCTTGTTTGCGTATTTGCCTAAAAAGTTCCAGTCTACTACTTTAAAGTCTCTGGGCTCGAGGCTGCCTATATTGACTGTTGTGCTACAGATAAAGTGATCGCTACCGAGGTTAGCTTGCAGATTAACCCATGTGGGGTTCGAAACGTTGCGTACTAGGGTCAGGTCAGGGGATGAGTCCCGTGACACTGAGTTACCTATGTGTGTGGGGGTAGAGAGGTCGTTAAGTAACATGAGATTGTGTTGAGTGATGTGTGTTTGTAAGTGGCGTCCTTTCTGTGTTGTGCGATTGTAACCCCATTGTACATGGGGGGCGTTGAAGTCCCCCGCGATGATGAGGGGATGGTTGCCTGCTATCTGCGTCGCTTTAGTTAGTAGTGTGGTGAATGTTTTTGTGCTGTGTGAAGGTGAACTATACACGTTAAGGATAAATACCGATTGCTTAATCTGAGCGCTGGGGATAATCTCTATCATCTGATGCTCTATTTTGAGGTCTGGGCGTACTGCATGTGTCGTGTAAGCATAAGGCTTAGCCACACAAGTGGCTATTCCTCGAGCTTTGTTCCCACAGACGGCCTCGACTCTGTATCCGCGAAGAGCGAATCGGTCGATACGCGTTTCCTGCAGGAGAATGACGGCCGGTCGTTGGGTCATAGAGCCAATGAATTGTTGTAACGTTTCTCTCCGCGTACGGAGGGTACTTGCGTTCCATTGCCAAATTGTGAATGATTGTGACGACGCCATTTTAGGGTCTAGGTATTTGCCCAGCACGCTTACTGCGTACCAGGTCCTCCTCCAACACCTTAGTCCTCGCGTCTATTTGTGCTGGCCATGTAGCCAACTCGATAAGTTGTTTCTGCATGCTCTCTAGTTTAGCGTTGAAAGCGCTATACTCGGCCGTGGTCTCTGCGCGGTACTGCTCTAGTATCGCGTATATATTGGCTGTAAACCGGTCAAAATCGGATTGCTCTTCGGCCTGGAGCGTCGGGCCTGCCCGTTTCTTAGCGCCGCGTATCGAGACGGGGCCGCTGATAATGCTACCCTCGCGCGATTCGGGGGCCTGTTGTTTTGCTAGCTCTTCTTTAAGCGATTGGATTTCTTTAGCCTGCTCCGCATACATGCGTTTTAACTGTGCTAGTTCTGGGTCAGGTTGCTGTGGCGAGTGTCCCTGACGCTGCGCTGCGTGGGCCTCACCTTTGCATGCCACCTTGTCGGCCCAGGTAGGCTGGTCAGTGGGAGTAGGATTTCGTGGGCCTAGAGGAGGTCCTTGCGGTTTGGTGGTCTTGGCAGCAACCGGGCTGGTTGCTGGGGTGGGTGCTTGCTGCTGGGCTTGCTTTCGTCGGCGACGGCGCTGACGACGACGGCGCACCAGGTAAGGCAGCTGGTAGCGATGTCGGCATTCGCGGTCGCCCGTGAAGTGTGCTTCACCACATAAGGCACACACTGGCTGGTTGCACACGTGTGGATTGTCCGTTGGTAAGTGACCGCAGTGGTCGCAGACCTTGGTTGAAGGAGTGGGGCACACGTCTTGGCGATGGCCCACTTGGCCGCAGGTACGGCAGGTGTCTATTTGGCGCTTATACAACGTGCAGCGGTAGATGACCTGGCCGCAGTAGACGTAGTTGGGCACTTTGAGCCCGTTGAAGATCAGAATCACAGTTCCAGTGTTCTTGATGCGACGCGCTCCCAGTAGGCTTGAGTTGCGCGGTCGGATTAGCATGCGGTTGAGTGCGGCGTCGTCAAAGTCAGTGTCGACGCCGCGAATCACGCCTCGGCTCGTGATACCGGCAGGTGAGAGGTAGGCCGTGACCGGGTGTCTCTGGTCGGTGAGGATGATCTCTGTTACTCGGCTGTACGCTGCTGCATTAGTAGCGCTGGGCGTACTGACGACAACAATGTTTTGCATCGAGTTGGGACAAATAATGTCCTCCTCCGTTACCGACGGCGCTAGCTGAGCTGCCATGGTTAGTGCGGCGAGAATCCTGTGCGGGCTGCAGGCTTGCACGTTGAGGCCGCCTCCCGGTCGCACGATGACTCGATTGTGACTACGTGGCATCGCCGGCAGTCGGCTCGCAGCTGCGACGCGTCGTAGAGTAGCGTTCGGCGTTGCTGTCGCGCCTCGTTGCGTTCCAGACTGGCGGGCTGCGTGTGACTTCGCTCGCGATTCTTGCCGTCTTTTTAGAACGGAGAACCATCCGTTTCCTTGTAATTCCTCAGGGGTGACGTCGTCCCCTTCCATGGCAATCTGCTGCGGCATATCGCAGCTGACGTGCGAGCGCCGTAGGCGGGGAGGCTGGCCTAACCTCGCCTAGGCTTAGCTCGCTGGTGCAGCGAAAAGGCCTCTAAAATGATGAAAAAAACGAGCCCACCTTGGTGAACTAGGTGTCGAAATGTTCAGGTGAACTTCGCGGAAGAGGGTCCGTGCAGCTCAGGAAGATTCGAGGCCGTTGACTGGTCAGAATCGGCATTAGCAGCGGAGCGCGATAGGTGTGCGTCCGCACACCAGTCTGAGAGACGCTACCCACTGAGAGTTGTGAGCCGCCGCGCCCTCACTGCGCCATCTGCTGATAATGTCGAAAACACAATATTTCCCCCCGAGATGCCCGCCAACAACGGTAAGCGCTAGATACAAAAAAAATTGGTGGAGCCTCCGCTGACAGAGAAATCCGTATGAGAGAGTACATATAATTCCTATCACAATAAAAAATGTAGCCCTTGTATCGGATAGTGGTAATTATGGTTACCATTGCGGTGTGCCTGTAGTCAACGCAAGCTAGCGTTTTTAGTCGTTCATGGCAGCTTCTTGCCCCAAATACCAAGTTATTTAGGGCAACTCTCTTCATTTGCAGAGTAGTCTAGAGGACACTTTGCGGTGAAGGCCCTTCGCTGAGCACGCGGCATTCGCGCCCGATAGCTAGCAATGAGCCTTCATCAACACGCACACGATATTATTCAACAAAATCGCTTTATTTTTTTTTCTAAGCCCAGGGAAAAGACGGAGCCAACAAGAGGGCAAGGAGGTCGCTCCTGCCTTATACAGTAACGTAAGTAGAAAAAGGCGGGCAACAATAATGACGCGAACGGATACTTGGAAATGACCCGATGAACACTAAGAGAAGGAAATAACCCAGGAATTTAAGTATGGGAAAGATGAAGTGCGAGTGCGTGAGTGTAAATGATTGCATATGATTGTTTAACTGAATGCGCATGAGCTGAAGACTTTTGAGTGAGTGAGTGAGTGAGTGAATAAATGAGTGAGTGAGTGAATGAATGATTGAGTGAGTGCACATCAGTGAAAAAGTGTCACTGGGTTAATGAGTGAATGAGTCAGTGAGTGAGTGAGAGAACATCAGTGAAGAAGTGTCGGAGAGTTAATGTATGGTTGTATGAGTGAGGGCTATTGAGTGAGTGAGTGAGTGAGTGAGTGAGTGAGTGAAATGAATGAGAGAGAGCATGGAGTGAGTGAGCGTGTGTTGTTGAGTCAGTGAAGCGAGTGAATGAGTGAAGTGAGCGAGCGTGTGGAACGAATAGGCGCGCGTTAATTAGTGAGCCAGTGGGTGGAAGTGCAGTGAAGTCAGTAAGGGAGAGTGAGCGAGCTACAGTAGAATGCGTGTGATTGCTATCGAGCAAGAGTGATCGCGCCAGAGCAAGTTAGCAAGTGGTGGGCATCAAGCAAGCAAACTTAACGGGCTGGGTGGTTCATTGATTCTTGTTTTTCATGTTAGAGATGATGACGGTTGACGTGAAGCATTGAGGCAGCAATCGTACGTGAATTATTGGGAAGGTGGCTTTTATAGAATGCGCGTTCGCTGGTCTTGTTCAGTGAGCTTATGTTAATGAGTGGGTGAAGGCGATTACGTTACGCCAGAGTGTGCGACAGGGCATTCCTGAAAGAAAACGAGCATGTTATAGTAACTTTCACTAAGCAGGCGTCAGTGTCTCAGTGAGAAGATATTCGTAAATACATGCGAGCGAGTGCAAGTGTTTATATCAGCGATATCCCAAATCAGCAGCTGCGAGTATGTGAGAGAGCACTCGCAAGTTGAGTCCACTAGCGACAGTGGTCACCGTGAAGTGAATGAAGGTTAGTGTGTTTAAAATAGGGGCAGGTGATTGTGATAACGTTGAAGTGAACTTCACCAAGGTGACTGGGTGTACTGGTAAGGCACGACAGAAAACTAAAATCACACACGACGAGACACGCAGCACTCGTGTGTTTCAAGACTCAGCTTAGTCCTCGTCCTATTCACCTTTAGTTTTTATCGCGTGAGAGTGTGGATGTGGGCGAGAAGACATTGTGAATGCAGTGGTGAAAGTGGTTATGTGAATATGCGTCAACAAGACTGCACCTGGATCACTTTTCAAAGGACCCTAAAGTGAAAAAAAAACGAATCAGCTACGATTAGCGAATTGTACTCACAGAACTATAATTTCGTTAATTTCACAGGTTTACTAAGGAAACAATCAAGGCCAAAGTCACATGTCTGAATTTCGCCCCTAAATGTCCTAATGTGACGTCACTGTTTTCAATTCGTATTTTTCGTATTGTGGCGACATTTGCGCCACAATACGAAAAATACGAATTGATTGATACGATAAATACGACAAGATTTTAGTTTGCGTCCCTTTTAAAGGGCAACGTACTTCATTTTTACGGCTCACGAAATAAATCGCAGATAGCAGACGCCGTCAAAATTTATGACGTCATCGCGTTGGGTGCGGCACTCTCAATATGGCGTCATCCCGCGCCCTTACTTTTAGCGCGTTTTCTCGCTTGCGAACCGATTGCTTGCGGCTAACGTAATAGTTTTGGAATCTTCGAAGAGTAGCGTACCAATAGCCGAGGAATCGTTTTTCTTCCTAGTAACCCTTTAACTAGCGTAGTCAGTTTGTCCGTTGCGATTCGCTTAGACTACGAGCTAACGTCCCGCCTTGTTCAAAACCTCTTCCCGTCCAAAGCCTCGGCGACGCGTCGCCAGTCTCGAGGACTTCGGCAAGGAAGGGAATCCGGATGATGGGGCCTCTGATTTCGCGAAGGAAATGTCTGACTACGATGAAGCCATGAAGGTGCTTGCGACAGTCGGTAAGTGATTTCGGAAGGCCCAGGCATCACCAAACACACACCACACACACACACACACACACACCACCACACACACACACACACACACACACACACACACACACACAACACACACACACACACACACACACAAAGAGTCGACTTCAAATTACCTACTTGCGTTGATGCGATTTCGAGTTCTGAATGAATGCAAAGACCGCTAAGATTGTCTTTCTTTTGTACTGCTTGATACTGCATAGACCACCTTGTGGGCGTTTATGACTTAAAAATAATAATACCACCACCGACACTTTAGTGCTAAATGCGATATGAGTGCAATAACAACAAACTTAATTGCTTCTCATTACTTTCGCTTGGCTTCACAGGCAACGCCAAAGAGGGGGGTGGGGAGGGACCAGGAAACCACATGCCCTGACTGTATATCCCTTCGCTTTCGTATACATTGGCCCTTCACACCACCTATTATGAATAATTCCCCAAGAGGGGATATCCCACAATCTGACACCCACTTTCCCTTCCTACCTGGAAACGTATTATCCACCCCTAGTGACGAGCTGATTAAGGCGTACTGGAGCGAGTTACTCTACCGTAAAATTACAATCAAGCGCTCTCTTCCCCCCCCCTCCCCTAAGGTGAAACATAATTCGACGAGATATGGAGGGGGGCCCTTTCTCGGTCACGTATCAAAACTATACATGGCAGTGGAAGAGCCGTTAAGGAGAAAGAATTCGCACTCGTGCTTCTAATTATTTGCTTGATTCAATGCGAATCCACTCTCTTTTTATTTCGGGGGGGGGGGGGGGCATAAACGTCCTAAAACTGTCACAGGATTCTAAGATACGTTGTAGCGGAGGGCTCCCAAAATTTCGACCACCTGGCATTCCCTAACGTGCACCTAAATCTACACACGCGGGCACCAAGCATTTTCGCCGCCTCGGCCGGGATTCGATCCCGCGACCTGCGGGCCAACGGCCGAGTGCCATAGCCACAAGACCACCATGGCGAATACACGCTGTTTTCATTCGCCCTCGTTGGGCTAATAAAAAGAGCGAATAAAACTGAAAATGCCGGCAAGGAAGAAGAGGCTGCACATCTGTAATCTCCCGAAGAAGGGTGCCCCACCACGGTGGTCTAGTTGCTGAGGTTACTCGGCTGCTGACCCGCAGGTCGCGGGTTCGAATCCGGGCTGCGGTGGCTGCATTCCGATAGAGGCGGAAATGTTGTAGGCCCGTGTACTCAGATTTTGGTGCACGTTAAAGAACCCCAGGTGGTCGAAATTTCCGGAGCCCTCCGTTACGGCGTCTCTCGTAATCATATGGTGGTTTTGGGACGCTAAACCCCACATATCAATCAATCAATCAATCCCGAAGAAGGAAGGAAGGCGCTTAATTGCTAGGCTCGCGACGCCTTTCTAGATAATTTTACGGTATATTGCTGGCGAATGTAAGTCGGGGTCCGCCACAGTTACTTACACGTTTCCTACGTTCGAGTCTTGGTGGTTGCGATAGCTGAAACACTCGGAGCATTCGACATAAAGCCCTTCGGAAAATACACATCTGCAGCAAATATAGATAAAGACGCGTGAGTTCACAAAACATAAGCTGCGATAAACAAGCGTACACTAGCAAGCAATCTTTACGTATGAAATGCACGACATTGCAGCCGCACATAGCTTCTATTATAGTTTTATACCTCTACATTTTTTTGTTTCTCTCTTTTCGTTCAAGTCTTGATGGCAAGACTCCGCATGGTTGCGATAGTTGAAACATTCGGAGCACTCGACATAGTGCCCTTCGGAAAAAAAAATTTGCAGCAATTATACATGAAGATGCGTAGACCACAAAAAATTTAGCTGCGAATAAAAAAGCCTACACTAGTGAGCAAATCATTTACGTATGAAATGCACAGAATTGCAGCCGCACATAGCATCACTTATAGTTTAATGCCTCTACATTTTTTTTCTTCCTTTTTTCCCCGCCTTCTTTCTAGCCGCACGTCACAATCAACAACGTCAAAAAGAACAGCGGGACGAAGCCAAACCAAAATGAAGACCACGAGTGTGATGTCGAGCCTATATGGAGAGACAATCCAACGACTTCCACTCATCCTGTCACCGGGTGCATCATAGGCATCAATAAATGAATGAATAGTTAGTAAAGAAGTCACGCGATTAAATAGTGCTGACTTATTAGCAGGAGAAGTAATTAGCATAAAAGACAAGAGAAGTGAGGGAGACCGGAGAAGAAAAAACGACGTTGATTAATAAAAACCCGCACCCTCGAATTCTATAATTAGACAAGCCACTGCACGTGTGCATACATAGGGGCGAAACAAACAGATGCAGGCAATTTAAATGGGCCTCAACTTGTACTCCTGCAGGTCGTTAAACAAGCAATTGCAGGACGTCCTGACATGCTGCTAAGCGTTGCGAAATGGGAAAGCGGTAGCCAAACAGATAGAGAGACAGATTATGATTATGAAGGTGAAATCTAACAAAAGCATCAGTGGTCAAACACTCTTCACCTTTGTTTGCTCAGTTACCTCTCGCGCAAGCATTTGCGCAGAGCCCTGACAAAAAAAAAATTGCCCGCAGCTTCCCTCGGGGGAACACTGAGGAGGATGCGGAGCATATAATTGGTTAACGGGGTGTTAAAGTGCGACTTACTTGGTCGATGGCTAAATGGTTAACGTGGTTGTGAAATGGGGGTGTTAAATTGCGACTTACTTGGGTCGATGGCTAAATTGGTTAACGTGGTTGTAGGAGGGGGTGTTAAATGAGTGAACACGTACACACGTATGCGAAACGGCGGCGCTGGTCGAAGGGACGTCGATCATTGTGTTTGTGGATTCGTTGGAATTCATTTCACCGCGACCTTGGACGTCGACGCGCCGTACAAACCAACCGACGAGCGGCAACTGAGCGAGCGAGCGCCGACCTTGAGTATATATACAGCGCGACGGCGCATGCACTGTCAGCTGTCGAATGTTCGAGAAGGGGGAGAAGCGCGACGGCGCATGCGCGCGCGTCAGCTGCCGATGTTCTCGAAGCGCGACGGCGCATGCGCGCGCGTCAGCTGCCGATGTTCTCGAAGCGTGACGGCGCATGCGCGCTACATTATACAGCTAGCGAATGTTCGTGAAGAGGAGAAGCGCACGCTGTGTGTAGAGGAGGAAAGGTGCACAGATGGTGGAGGAGTGAAGCGCGCGCGATGTGTAGAGGAGGAAGGGATGCACAGATGGTGGAAGAAGGAGGAGGAAGCTTGCGGACGGCGCTGCACTACAAGCCTCGAGTATTAGATGCTCCGCATCTAAAAATTGGCCCCATATCTGCATGTTAATCTGCAAATGTCGTCGAAAGACGATAGTCTTGCGTGTGGAGAGAGTGGACGAAACATTTATATGATGTCCTGCGCTAGAAAATCGGTGAATGTGTATTCTGGAGGCGCTGCGTTAGAGTGCCTCGAGCGTGCAGCGGAGACGAACGAGCGCATCCAGTCACGTCACACGTGAAACATGAGTGCCATCTGGCAGTTTTCTTGTCAAACAAAGCGCGCAGCTCTAAGACGGGCGTGCGCGCCCATCTCAGAGATGATAAGGTGTAGAACGCAATGCGACGGGTAGCCGGGGTGCCGTTTTAAGTACCCGATACCATTAAGAGTGGACAAACAGCCAAACGTGCAGAGAGACAGACCAAAATTTTTGCGTCGAAGGTCCCCAAGAAAGACTATCGTCATCAAAATATTGGCGCCCGAATCTTCTCACGGCGGGAACTCGAGTACATGCGTCGCAGACTGGTGAGGGTATCGCGTTAATAATGCCTAATTTGGCATGGTTTTGGAATGCTCAATTGTTATTTAGTCTTTATAATATTCTTATTTATTCATTAAAGGAGAAGCTAAGGCAAAGAGTGCAAAGTCAAAGCGTGCCTTTATTGCTTTCCGCCGTCGTGGTATTGGACGGAGAGGAGAAGCCCTTGACTGAATTCCGCCGAACGTATCCTGTAGTCTCTCAATGGTTTACAAGCCACATTTGGATACCTATTCCGTAGTTGTCGCGCAACGAGACGAGCTGAAACGATCGCGAAACAGGCTCTTCAAAGACTATTGCATTTCACAACTACCAACTAGTTAGTTCAATAGCGAGTGTGTTTCTGACAACGTGTATTCCAGTGCTAACGCGAAAGCAAAAGAAAAAAAAAGACTACAGAGAGTACCGGGCACTCACCTTCTCGGCCATAACATGCGCCACAGGCGTAGAACACGATCGACACAGCGTCCGACCACAAGAAGAGCAGCCATCTCTACTCTTTTCGAGACGCCGTCTGCTCTTTTTTTTTTTCTTCATTTTCGTCTGCACTTTCGTCTGTTTCGCGCTCCCTCCTTCTTCCGTATCATATATCGATTTCTTCACTTGGTTGTTCGGTAGTTCACTTTCGACTGCGTATCCTAGCGCGTATATTTATTCTAGGCTGTTTGCCCGACACAAAGGCACTTCAACATGGAGTGGGATTTGATACTCCTACAGGCGTCAAGCGAACACGCTAACAAAAAGAAAACATGGCGGTCGGAGGTCAACCGCTTGTCGTACACAACACTACACGCTTCCGGAATCGACGTTCGCGCCGCGGTGTGAACAGTGGTTTTATCTAACGCTTCTCCGCATTTCTGAACAAAAAAAAACAAGAAAGGAGGAGCGAATTGATTTGAATCGAGTCAGACAGATTTGCCACATTTCCGTCCGAAGGCTAAGGTGTTTTTTTTTTTTTCTTGGATCAGAACATTTGACCTTGTGGAAGTTTGTTCATTCTCGATGTGGCATTATCTGATACGCCTAAAAGTACGCGAGCACACAGGAAAAAAATTCAGTCAACCGCGCTTCATGGACATCGATGAAACGGC